TCTTGTCGTTATTTTTGAATATTGGAATAGCATTTGCCACGGCTCCGTGGCGCAGTGGCTTAGCAATGAGTTATTGCGCTGGGGGCTACGAGTTCGAATCCCGCACGGAACAAGTATTTGTATGGCCTACAAATAATTGTTCCGGGTCTGAATGTTTGTCCTCGTGCAATCTATGTTTGTAAACTGCCTCCACGATACAAGACAAAATCCTAGTGTGGGGGTAACGTTTAAAAAAAAAACAAAAACAACATATATACATAATATATCTGGAAATGTTCCCTGATCTAAACATAAATTTATAATGTAGCACACGGTTTGAGCTATTATATTCCCTACTGTTTTTATAATCTTAGTGGAAACATTATCAAAACCTACACTATTAATATTTTTAATAAATTACCTAACAGATTTAACAAAATGTAAGGGAAAGATTGGGGTCCAAAAAAATTGAGTTACGTTGACTATGTAGAATAGAAGTAGTTTCGGGCTTGTCCTTATCGACAGTTTCCAATGAGTTTGTAAAAAAGTTTTTAAACGCGTTCGAAATTTCTGTCGGTTCAGTTACCTCTTTATAGTTAATTACTATACTGTTAATGTGTTGCTTAGTAAGACTCTAAGAAGACTAAAAGTTTTAATACACTAATTCCTATGAATATTTTGCAACGCTTGTGAAGAGGCATGTTAATCACAGTAACCAACTTGGTGTCATGTGTACCAAGCGACATGACAAGGCAATCGAATAAAATTTTACGGATTTAACGCGTTTTATTTGACTTATTTTAATTCCCGACTATTTGGTTACTTTCATCTTTTGAACATTAACTTTTTAGGTTTTTTTGTATATTAATTTATGGTATTAAAAATAGGTTAAATCAAACGTGAAAAAAACCGTAAGAATAATTTAATTCAATGTGTAGTAATATCATGACAAGACAATTATCAAAATTAAGGGGTTAATTTATAATGTAAAAATAATTAAAAATATACATAACTTTCTCATTTATATTAATGACTAGCTGTCCCCCGCGACTTCGCCCGTGGGGAATTTATTACGATTAGATTTCATGGTTTATTTCCGCAGTACCCTATTTTTTATTTTCAAAAATACAAGTAGCTTAAGTTACTCCTTATAACATCAGCTATGCCAGTCAAAACTCCGTCAAAATCGGTCCAGCAGTTTCGGAGATTAACCACAACAAAAAAAAAATTAGACACACAAACAGACAAAAATTTCAAAAGTTGATTTTTTTTTTGTTATAAGTACCGAATATATTTTCATATGCATTTAATAAAAAGCTGTTATTTTGACATTATAAACGGACACTGCAATTTTATTTATTTTAATAGATTTGTTAGAAAAATATATAGGAGTAAATTGTTTTCGGTTTTTTACATGTCGAAATCAAATTATTAACAGACAAGTCTTTAGATTGGATTGATTTTCGAAGATCAATTTTCCGTCAAATGCGATATGTTTAATAAAATTTACGTAACTAACAAAGTAACAATCTATCTAATAGTAATTGGCTACTGAATCCATAAAGACAGCTGCAACTAATTTTAAACAAAGAAGCCTACTTTTTTTTACATATTATAAGCCAGTGCTTGACCACAATCCCACCTGGTGGTAAGTGGTGATGCAGCCCTAGATGGTGAATCGCACTGTCTTAGCGTAACAAAAGCCTATTTACTCTTGCCTTGAAGACGCCCAGATTGTATTCGGACGGAAAGACAGACGCCGGCAAATTATTCCCCTCCTTTGCTGTACGCATTACAAAAGACGAAGCAAACCTTTTGGTGCTAATGCGTGGAATATCGACAACATTACTTATGCATTGTCACCTCTGAAGACTAAAATGGAATGCCTCACAGCTTGTTATACTGACATTATATGTCCTTCAGAATGGGACACATCAGTGTGTGGTATGTACACAGCCTAACTCCTAAACAGAAATAGAGTATTACTACTGAAAAAATTAAAACAACAACAGACAATACTGTCAGTAGGAACGTTTTGTCATGTTTTTTTCTTATTAGCTAATGTTTAGACTTACAGCAGACAAGTTTCATTAAATGTTGTTCTACCCGGTAATGTATAATAACATTATTTTAGTTTATTCAAAAACTTGTCACAAAAAACTAATTTACAATATATAAATGTTTACGTACAGATTTAATTAAGCGAATATTTTTGTTTTATGATTATTATAAAAATAGATTTTTAAATAATTTTTCCATATTGTTTTTATCTTCATGTGTAATGACAGAAGAATATTATAGATGTCTTTGCTCTCCGTAAGGAGTTTCACAGCCAAAATCAGAATATGTTAATGTTTGTTTATAAACAGTATATCTAGCAGTCAACTACCTTTATTAGCCTTTCAGTAAACAACCTAGGCTTTTTACTAAACGGTGCCGTTAAACTAAACGGTCCCGTTAAATGAAATTAATGAGGCGACCATGCCACGTAATGCGCCTAATTATACGCTTTGTGCTATATTATACAAATGTACGCGGCCTTTGAGCCAACCCAGCCGCACCATAACCTACTGGCGCTGATATTACAAGATAGATGCAATGTTGTATTAGACGCATTGACTGAATATCATTCAGGCCGCTAGTTGAATGGCGCCGTTTAGTAAAAAGGCTTAGGCTGTTAACTAAAAGGCTAATAAAGCTAACTAGCAGCCAACTGGCTGCGACATATATATCAACCAAAGAAAAATAGCACACATATTTATATGTCAAGATCCAGTGTGCACGTATAATAATCACCATCAAAAACACGATTCTGTCACAATCAAGAATTAATTAATTTTTAAATTCATTAGTTAGACGAAGTCACTGAATAAATTTATAATAAATATATCAATATAAATTAGAATACTAGATCAAATATTTGCCGAAAACTAATAATATTACTGCCAACTAGAGACATAGATTAGCAAATTTAAAACATCATATATTTATAAATGGCGAAATCGTCACCTCTAAGTGATGAAAAATAAACAGATTGGTGAGAGATTGGGTGCGTGATAGTGGCCAATGAGGTCTAATAATCTTGTGCTCACTAAATGTCGCTAGTTGTCACAATGTAATTTAATTAAGAAGCTAGTTTTAAGTAAAATTTTATAAGTGTCTGGAGTATGTATTGTATTAATACATACATTATTATATTTATCTATTTTTTACTTTTAGAAATATTTGTACTTTGGTTTATTCATTTATAATCTGATTATTATAAAATGTAAGTAATATTACAGAACGAAACATTAACCCTTAAATTTTCCTAACAAAACAATTTCCCCGCTATAAAATCTGTCAAATATTTCACCTGACTCCAGAGTGGCACCGCACTGGTGGCAGAAAAAGTCGTGAATGCCTAATCGAAAAAAAACTCGAGGATTACCAATAATAAACCAGTAGAACTCCACGTTAAGTACTAAACTGTTGCCAAGTGTATTTGTAAGGAAGTAGAATAACAAGTAAGTCAAGTAGTAAAATGATCATTTTATCTGTATAAGCGACCAATGCAAATTTCAGACAATGGCATATAAAGAAGGCTGCAAGAGCTTGTTCAATATTCTATAAATAACTCTTTCATCCTTTAAACCTTAACACACTAATGGGTGTGTTTCTTTTTAGAGTTTAGGTTAGGGTTCTGTACCCAAAGGGTAACCAACAGGACCCTATTACTAAGCCTCAGCTGTCCGTCTGGCAGCAGGCTGTATCTCATGATCCGTAATAGGTAGAATGTTGAAATTTTCACAGAATGTGTATTTCTGTTGCCGCTATAACAAACAACAAATAATGAAAATTAAAATAAATTAAAAATTAAAACGGACTCACCTACTAGAAACTTGTATTATGATGGTACGGAACCCTTCATGCGCGAGTCCGACTCGCACTTGGCCGGGTTTTTTCAGTAGTAATACCTAAGAGCTTGATACCAATTAAGATGAACTCGTGGGTAAAAAAGCCATAGCAGCTGATGCAGAAATATTTACAAATAGAGTCCGTCCGGGTAAGTGCTATCACTGATGTGTTCCGGGTTAAAGAGTAAAATAGCAAGACTATGGCCCATTCCATATTATTCGTCAGGGGTGAAACACACCTGTAGAAATATTTATTGGAATTTTGTTGGAATAGCCACTTTACTGACGGCTCCGTGGCGCAGTGGCTTAGCAATCAGTTGTTGTGCTAGGGGCCGCGGGTTCGAATCCCGCACGGAACAAGTATTTGTATGACCTACAAATAATTGTTCCGGGTCTGGATGTTTGTCCTTGTGCAATTTATGTTTGTAAACTGCCTCCACGACACGTGGGGGTAACGTTTCTTTAAAAAAAAACCTTTAGGTGGACTGTTGTACACTGTTTTATCTTTGGATATATGTACTTAACTTAAATACAGAAAAAAATCATTGCATATTGACTCATTTCCTTTGAATAGCTTGTAGATAGATTTTTTTTTGATTAATGTTTTGATGTAACAACTGTTTGTGAACCTTTTATATAAATAAATAAATGACAAATTATTATAATATGAGCATGGGGCACTGGTGAGTGACGATTTATTACAGCATAATTTTCTATCTCATGTAAAAAAAAGCCGATGTCCAGAATTAGATTGAAACCTTTTTAAAAGCTGTTTCTTTAAAAAAAGCGACAGATTCTTTAATAATTAAATCAGTATTGGTTAACTGACTGCGACGAAACCAGTCTTCACATTTTTGTACTAAATAGATTATTAAAATTCTTTTATGGATATATGCACGTTTAATTATTATATCAGGTCATGAATATTTTTATTTAGTCTGGTTTGAGAAAAACTAAATATCTTTAAGCTATGACCCGTCTAAACGTTGCTTAATCTATGACGTGCACACCTTGATTAGTTTCCGAGTCTCACAATAGTCACGGTCACCGGCTTCAAGCTATAAAAACCTATTGTGTCCTGATGCAAGCCATCACTTCATCTCGGTGTCTTAAACAATTATCACCATGCTTGCACATAGCACTTTATTAATATTCGTTGCTGTTTTTCAGGTAAATAACATATTTATAATTGCTACAAATTAATTTTACAACTTAATTAAATAACAAGCCTCATTATTTATTTTGTTTTTAAATAACAATTGAATCTATAAATTAAACATTTGACTTTGACTGTTCAATATAATCAATTGTTGATGGTTCCTTTTCAGATTTCGACTTCCCAAGGTCCACCGCCTTTACCTCCAAATCTACCCAAAGAATGCTTACAGCCTCCTCCTGTTGTAAGTTATTATTATTATTACACCTATCCTTATATTATTAAGATCATTTTTTCCTACAATAATGATGAAATTCATCGTGAGGAAACATGCATGTCCGAGAAATTAAAAATATTTTAAAGGTGTGTCACCCTGCAATGCAATGGCGTGGTAGAATAATACTTAATAAATCTCAAATTAAATTTATTGAATAATACTTCATATGATTGTGTGTTGATAAATAAAAAGCGGTAGCTTAAAAGCTTTAATTGAAGCGAGTGTAGCCCAATGGTGGGGTGCAGCTGCAAACTCAGAAAGTCGTGGGTTCCAACCCGCCATTCGACTACTGTGTTGGCCCAGTCCTCACACGAACATTTTAAGCTTTCTTGAAGTGGTTTGCGAAAGTTATAGTAAATTATTAACGTTACTAGTTTGTTTTATCAAAAATGTCACATCACTGCATCATTTCAATACTGAACATAGATCACTCCATCAACTTCATGCTTCTTTAATCATTATAAGCCAGCTTGACTGCTATCCCACCTGAAGAGAAGTGGTGATGTGGCCGATTAACTTGCCTAGTTGCGCATTCGGTTGTCAGTTAACCTAGATGGAGGTCGCCCATACTGCATTTGACGGCAAGAGGCTCTCACTCGATAACCCTTTCCATCGGTTGTCATTTCTTCGTGTTATATGGACGATCTACTGAAATTTGGGTATCTAAAGCTTTTATTTACGTCACATATTATTGTTCTGTTACCGATATCATCGCTAGGGAATATTAATCGTACTTTATAATTATAAAACCATAATTGTGAACAGTGTTTGTAAACGCAAATGATTCTACAGTAGTTAATTTATATTTAAAGGACAACCCACGAAAGTGCTGCGATATTCCGCCAATATTCAGAGATGAGGACTTCCAAGGTTGTGGTTTTAAAAAAGTTAACGAGGGAATGCCTGATGTTCCGCGAGGACCACCTGAAGTAAGTTTCAAACAGTTTTAAAATGAAAAAATAACTAATCTTAAATAGGTAACAATATATAATTGCTTTAATAACGTGCTATAATGCAGCTATATGGTTGTAGCACAAATAGGTCGGCTCGACCGGGGAAGGACCTCGTTTTCACAAAACATCTGCGTGAAAGAGAAGTTAAATGCTGCTGTGATTCGTATAGTGAGTTCATAGACCGTTAATTGGCTGACAACGCCTTTGAATTTTGATTCTCAATTGAGGGTAGTTGTAGATGACTTTGGTCTACTCCAAAGGGGAAATGAGATTGCCTGAATAGGTGCGCTCTTGAAAACTAAGAAAAAAATACAATACCCGAATTGTACACTTCCACTTTTGTATCATTAAACTTAAATAACTAATGTTATCTTTGACTATTATTAAAATTGTCGAAAATATGATTTTAGATTTATCATTTCGACTCTATGTATATTAGTTAAAATAATTTGGAAAACATCTGGTTTAAGATAACAGGATTTGAACCGATGATCCATTTATAAGCAAAAAAAATGCTAGTCCATGATAACAAAGTATTTAACTAATACATTAATCATATGAAATATATTATATATCTGTAGTAGATAGCTATAAAATATAGCTATAATATTTTATAGCAGTAGGTATTATTTAACTCAAACCAAATAGGCGAAACGGAATACAATTTCAATAATTAAAATCTATGTGATTACGCTCACAAACATATTATTGCTTTATTTATCCCTCGCATAGTTATTATTTTATGTGCAAACAGTATTAAAGTTTCAAAAAACCAGTATCACTGAGACTATTTTGTGATCGGCACTGTGACTAAAGTTCACTAAAAGACTTTCGCTTCCGCTACGCTTATCTATATCCCTCAGATCTACCTTTGCGCAGTTGGTTTCCGCATTTAGTTAAAATATGTAGAAGTGTTACGTTCTTAAACAGACTTTACCATTACCGTTAACGTTTCAGCCTATTAAAGACCACTGCTGAACATAGGCCTCCACCATAGTTTGCCTCATAAGGGGGTTATTTGCCATAGTTTCCACGCTTGGCAAGCGGGTCGGCAACCGCGGTTTTTTTATTATTACTCGTTATTACTGCTGCCCATTTCCTGATTTCCCTCTGTCGCTTCTTACAACCATGGGATGATATGAAGTAGTAGATATTCTTACATCGCCACTATTCGGTAACAGAATTTACACATCCTCCATTTGAATACCAGCGTAAAATAGCAGCTTAATACTGATGCGTATGGTGAGTGTAGAGAATCGGACACCTTTTTTTACTGGAAACGAGGCATTCAATCTTAGTCCTCACTGTTGACGACGCATCTGCAGTTTGATACTTAATTGAGCATAAATGTAGGTGTATATAGACCACAAAATCCACATTCTATCAGGTGGACTGTGTGCTCGTTTGTCAGCCATATTCTATATAATTAAAAATTAAAAATTTTGTACAACCGACTTCAATATAAATTATTAAGAATAACTGAAAAACTACTGGTCAGACCTTGATCAAATTTATATCGGACCACATGAGAAGCAACAGCTTTCAAATAAAAAAAGAATCATCAAAATTATGAGGTAACACAGATAAAAAAGAACATACAGTCGAATTGAATACCTCCTCTTTTTTGAAGTCGGTTGAAAAACTTACGACTCATTAAATATTTACGTCATGTTGTTCTTAAATAACCCTGGGACTTGATAACGGAGAATATCAAAATTACTCAACTTATTTTAAATAATATAAGGCTACTTCTTTACCCAAGTTGCTATCCAACATCTAAAAGGTATTTAAGTAGCACTTCAAGGCTTTACTTCACAGTAGACGACTTCCTACCGACAACACGCTATTCTGTTGCCTTTAGCTTGATATATTCCTTAGTCCATTCAAAAGCGTAAAAGACACCAAACTTTTAATTAAAAGAAAACCCCACTATATAGAACCAAAGAGAATAAAATAATTTTCACATAGCTTCTGAAGTCGGCACTTAAATTCTTCCATACACTGTCTCAGAACCGACTTCTGAAGCTGTTATGTATGAATTATTAATTTTTTTTACTTCTCTGAAATAGCTTACTTTGATCAAAAGTTTACTTTTTACTTTTTATTAAAAATTTCCTTTTTATAATTCAATTAATACTACAGTTAATCTTTTACATCATTTTATAAACGCGTAACTCAAAATCATGTTTCAATCAGCAAATCGCAAAAAGCCTATGTGTGTACATTTAGTTCTGTAGCATGCCAGCGTAACAGAATCCATCACGCATATCGTTTCGTGAATGGGAATTCTAGAAAAAAACTTTTTTTTACATATTTTAAGCCAGTGCTTGACCACAATCCAACCTGTTGGTAAGAGGTGAAACATCCTTAGATGGTAAATCACACTGTCTTAGCGTAACATAAGCCTTATGGTTTCCTTATATTGGCTTAGGCTGTAGAGACTGCGGTCACATGTGTAAAAAACCATACAGAGACAAAGCTTCTAAGGAGCTGTCAAAATTTTTACCTATTTTGGTAGGGTTGGCGCAGGAGGATAAAATAAAATAAAACGTCTATCAGTTTTTATTATATACTTACGATATAATATTTTTATATAAAATACTTATTCTAATAATTTTATTTTATTTTATTATTATTGTTCATAAATGGTAAATTATGAATCTAACGTAAAGTTTTTTTTTTAATAATCTATTGGATAGCACTCACATGACATAACAAATATACAATCTTGCACATGTTTAATATTTAATTACTAATATTTAAAATGTTTCTTTCGAGATCAAAATATTCGCAAAATGTTTTGCTCAAGCAATTCGTACATTCATTTCAAATGCATTCTCACATTGGCTCGAACTTTAACAAGCACCGTCATTTGTTAGTAAGTTGAGTGTTGGAAAAGCATTTTCCAGATAAATATTTTACACGTCTCTTTTTAGAAAACTTAATACAGGATTTTTCGAAGTGATCCTCACAGAGTCTATATTGTTGCCTTTTTTATAATCAAAAAGTTTTGAATGAGAGATCTTCTCGTCCGACAGGTTTAACCAGTCTTGCTGTCTGAAATAATAATAATAATAGAAAAAAATGCACCTGCGTATTTAATTTATAAACGCAATTATTCAATTATAAACATTATAAATAACTATTCACTTTTACTGGTTGGTCACTTATAGGTGAGTTATCGATCTACCATATTTGAAAATAAAAAATTATAGTCAAGTTACTACTTACCTAGTTGAGTGTTTGGGATAAAAAATGATAAATTATTATTTTTTCCATTATTGTTTATACAAACAGTACAGTAAACCATATTTACACTTTTTGGTACTTTATATGACACGAATAATTCTTTAAAAAATTTAATTTTACATTCATTATTCTTTACATCACCCTGAGTTTGAGCACTGGCCGAGTCGGCTTAAAGCAATTTATCTCTGTATGTGACGAGTCGCCAGTGCTCACGCACACACGGACCTCAGCAGCTTGTAGTAGTGTAATTATTATTATTATAGCGCGGTTGTATGAAGCCTCTGTATGGTACGGTTTTTTTACTCATGTGTTGCGGCCTACAAAAAACTTTTCATGGTTGGATGTTTATTCGATTTTATTATAAAATTAAAGTCACAAAACAAATTAAAGTCCATCTGATGGTAAGGGACTACTGCAGTACAGGGGCCCAGTACTAGCAACCAAAACTTCAAACAAAGAAGACTACAGATACGTTGTCACCTCTCAGGATTAGATTGAATACCTTACAACCTGTAATTGTACTGTATCTCTATACAGTTTAGACGGAAACACGGCAGTGCAAGCTATTTTGCGAGAAAGAGATAGAAGGGTGGTAAATACCCAGACAGTCTCCTAGGCGTAGATGGACTCCTACCATCTAGAAGTCCTTATCCAATTAAGGTATATGTAGAACGCCTCCACGATACTGGAAAATCTTAGTTTAGAAAGAGTAACTTTTTTGATGTGGCATTGATTCTTAGTTTAGTAATAGTATTAAGAAGAGATTTTTGTCAAACGGTATTGTTTATTATATATATATATACATATAAATAATTTCAAGCTTTAACATTTCAGTGTTCCAAACAAATATGCTTGCTAAAGACACGCAACCTCGTGAAAGACGATGACACAATTGATCGGGAAGCAGTTTCGAAATTCATGGATACATGGGCTGAACCTTACCCGGAGTTCAAACCGACAGTGGAATCAGCTAAGGAAAAATGTCTAGGCGGGGAGCTTCCAGGCCCCCCAGAAATTTGTGACGCTAATAAAATGGTGTTTTGCATGAGTTCCATCCTATTTATGGTAAGATGAAAATTCAATTTTAATTGTTTATAATCTTGATTTTTAAAACCTTAACCTAATGAACATTACCTACATTTGTATCTCAAATATAAATATGTTTGCATACTTAAATTTACTACAAGGAAATGGTATTTAAGCATCAACAATTTGTCTAGTGAATATCACTAACCTAACTAAATTGGTGGCGATATGTAATATACACTATCCCATAATCATTCCGTGGGTGTCGTAAGAGGAGATGATCAGCTGCATCTTTCTGCATAACGCAAAATAATAAAATACTGCGTCTGCCAACCTGCCTACCAAGCGTGGTAACTATGCCTATGTTACCACGTGAAGCAATCTGTGGGAGAAGCCTATGTTCAGCAGTGGACTTTTATAGACAATCTGCCTGCCCAAGTGTTGCAAATTTATTTACGTGTATTATATTGTGTGAGAACAACTTCGGCTGCAACATAAATGAATCAGGTCAGACGGAGAAGCGCTACTCTTTCACAAAATACCAGCGAAAAATAACAGTACTATTTGCTGTGTTTGGTAAGGTTAGTGTTATCGATAATCCAAAATTTTTTTTCTGGATAAGGAGACATAAGGAGGCATTCAGTTTTGTTTTTTTAAGGATATATATGTATCCATGGGCCATAGTTTCCATTTACCATTAATATAGGCTGTAATTAATCCCCACTTTTATACAATAAATATTTTGATTAACTAATTCACAATTTTTTCAGGAATGTCCCAAATGGAAAAACGAACTAGAAGACTGCAGGGCACTCAAAAATCAAATCGACACATGCGAAAAATATTTTCCTCACTAAATAAACAAGAATTATTCAAACATTCGCAACAATAAAATGTAACCATCACCTTATTTATTTTAATAGCTTATACCATTTATGTTAATAAAATGCTATAATTTTGTAAATATATTATATTCGTATAATAAAATAAATTAACAAAAATTTGGTACTTAATTAAATTACCAATTTGAATAGCAGTGTAATGCTGCTATTTCGTGCTGGCTAACAAAAATGAGATCACAGAAAATAGCTCCGTTACTTTGTTTTTACGAGGTTTTGTAGTTAGTTAAAAAGTGTAGCAATTGTTAAAGCATAGATTAATTTCGATAGTAATCACGATACTTAAACAGATAAATGAATGGTCCCAACTATAATAGCACTAGCAGATACAAATGCTTTTATTTAAAAGACACAATTAACTTTTTTATTTATTCCATCACATCACAGGATCACTCAAAGGTGAGATATTTGTCATAGCTTCTGTGCTTGGTAGCTAAATTGACAATCTTATTTTTAGTTTATTGGGTCAGGAAAATGCTGCCCGTCTTCTGTATCAGTTACCTGCGGGAAGATATGGGGCAGAGGATTTTCTTACACCGCCACTACATATACACAGCGGAGACACATCAATTAACAACCAAGTAATACAGACAATAATCAAGACAAACCTATAAGTGTGAAGGCTAACTATAACACCTTGTAGAGCCAGGTTGCAGCTATATATTACAGTTTCAGCACGAATGGGTCGGTTCCACGGGGGTAGGATCATGCTCTCAAATAATACTACCGTAAAATAGCACTTTAATGCTGTTTTGTTTCGTATGGTGAGTTTAGAGAACCGGAGACATTTTTTACTGGAAACGAGGCATTCCATCTTAGACATCAGGGGTGACAACGCATCCGCATTTAGATTCTTAATTGATGATAAATGTAGATGTATATGGGCGACAGCAACTACATAACATCAGGTGGACTGTGTGCTCGTTTGTCACCTTTATTCTATAGAAACATAACACTTCGTTTATATTACTAGTTATCGATTCTGCTGTCAGTGTTCAGCAGGGTGACCCACTAGGTCCAGCAATTTTCAGTTTGAGAATTCAACCCATTATTTCAAATTTGAAATCCAAGCCGAATGTCCGATACCTGGACGACGGTACACTGGGAAGTAGAGCAGATGACGTCCTCAGTGATCTTATTCATATTTTTCGAAATTTTAAAAATATTGGTCTTGAACCAAATAGCAATAAATTTAAAATATTTTTTTTCCAATAATTTATCTACTTCTCATAGAGACACTTTAATTCAAAATTTCAATAATGTTTCTCCAGAAATAAAAACTGTCAGTACGGAATCACTATACCTGTTAGGTGCCCCGTTGTTTTTCGACAGTATTAAACCTGTTTTCAAAACAAAATTTGATCAGTTTTTAAACCATGTTGATAAATTGTATAAATTAAAGCCCCAGCTATGCTCTTACTATTTTAAAATATTTTCTTTTTGTACCTAGATTTACATACTTACTCCGCTCGAATCCAGTCTGGAAATGTTAAAAGATATTTTGAAAGATATTGATAATAATCTTAAAATAGCTAAAGAAATAACTCTAAATTTAACTTTAAATACAACAGACTGGACTCAAGCTACTTTACCTATAAAATTTGGTGGCATTGGTGTGAGAAATCTTTCTAGCGTTGCATTTCCTGCTTTCCTTGCTTCCGTGCATAGTTTCAGTGACTTATGTAACATAATTTTCAATAATAAAGTAGGCCTGTGCTTTGCTACGGAGGCAGAGCAAATGCTCTGTCCTGGTTCCACTGGAAGTTAACCAACAAAAACAGTGAGATATTCCGTTGGTTCAGAGCGTGCAGAAAGATTTGGTTCATAATTTCCATAGTGACCAAGATAAGGCACGCCTTCTAGCTGTTACGACTAAGGAATCTAGTCATTGGTTACACACTTTACCATGAAGTTGCACATCGCCGTAGGAATCCGACTAGGAGCGGCGATTTGTCAACCTCATCAGTGCCCCTGTGGTAGCAAGTTTGGGCTCCACGGACTTTCATGTAAGAAAAGTGCTGGTAGGTTTTCACGACACAGTTCTTTGAACGATGTCATCCGAAGGGCTCTTGTCTCTATAAATGTTCCCTCGGTTTTAGAGCCTTGTGGAATATTTAGAGACGATGGCAGGAGACCCGACAATATGACATTGGTCCCTTGGGAGAGAGGTAAAGCCCTAGTGTGGGATGCTACTTGCGTAAACACTCTGGCGGCCTCTCATCTCCGGGGTACCTCGTTTAGAGCCCGGGGCGGCATCAGAGGCAGCTGAACTGGGTAAGTGGCGCAAATATGAGTCTCTGAGAGATAACTACGTATTTGTGCCATTTGCTGTAGAGACTATCGGTCCGTGGGGTCCATGTGCGGTGAAGTTCCTAAAGGAACTCCACCCGCGGCTGGTCATTGCTGCTGGTGATAAGAGGGCTGGTTCTTTTCTCGCTCAAAGGCTAAGTATAGCTATTCTTATATATATAGTAACCAACGTTCTTGGCACGATACCGTATATGATAATTAAGTTTCTAGTTTTTGTTTTTTTTTGTTTGTTTTTTTTTTAATATTGTATATATTGTTAAAAATAAACTAATTAATATTTGTAACTAGTTATTTAAATTCCAATCCCCACAGCTCGTAAGCACAGGTTTTCTATGAGAGGATGTTGAAGCAGAGAGGAGTCCGCCGTGCTATACCAGTGCGTGTTGGAATTAATTTCGTTAGTTTCACATGTTCTCTTTATGTTTTTATTAGACTCGTAGTTTTCTTCAGATATTTATCACTGAGCACATGGAAAAAAAGTAATATAAAGTTACAAGCACATAAATTTCCGATCAACAACGTGGTGGTGGTAGAATCCAACTTGAGTTGCTCGTGCACTATGAAATTGAAGATAAGAACTTATTCCCTGACCTAGCACCGCTTGAACTTTGTTTTTAATATTCTTATTATTCATCATCATCATTAGAGCCTATCAAAAATCCACTGCTAAACATAGGGCTCCCCTTTTTTTGCCATATAGGGGGTATATTTTCCGTAGTTGCCACGCTTGGCGGGTGGGATGGCAACGGCAGTTTTTCATTTTCTAGATCTTATTTAAATGTGGTAGAGCCACGCTGCAGTTATAGTTGTAGCATAAATGAGTCGGCTCGACCGGGGTAGGACCACGCTCTCACAAAATACCAGCGTAAAATAGAAGCTTAACCCTGTTGTGTTTCGTATGACGAGTAAAGAGAACCGGAAACCATTTTTATTGGAAACGATAGGTGAGATTGAAATTTTGATAAAATGGTTACAAAATATTCTCTCTTACTTATTACGAAAGTACAAAATACGCAATATTTTAAATTCTATAATAAGATTGAGGAACATATTGAAAGTTCGTGAGCCAACCCATTCGTGCTACAACCATGATATAGCTGCTGCGCGGCTCTACAACGTATTTATACTCGTATGCCTTATGAGAGGTATCTTTTAGTTAAATCTAACAAAAATAACATTGAGAAATATGTAGGTACAAATTAAAGAGTTAAAATTAGTAGCACAGGAAAATTCTACTAAAGCTATTAATACGATATGTTCAATCTAATGATTTGGAAGCTGAAGGCACAAACTCTATACCGATTTCTGGAATATGACAAAAACTATAAGAAGAACTATTTACGAATCATTTTATTTATTTTAAATGGAATGTATAATGACATAATGATAATGAGATGACATGGCTCTTCATGCAATTTAACTACACTAAAATTAATACAAACATTCATAATTATTATCCCTAGCATCCTCTTACACATTTATAATTAGTACGGAAGTATACAGCAAATTGCATACATAGACACTAATAAGTAATACTGTCACGTAAATGCTCATTGAATAACATCATTCGTATATCACACGCGCCAGCATAATTACCTCATCACTTTCCTTAGAGGAATATGTATTATTATTAACTACACTATACTAACAGTCTTTACTGGCAACTTCATGGCAAAAGCCTCGGATTATATCTGCCGACATACAGAATCATGCCGGACGGATTATGTCTCACGAAGAACAGGAATGGTCTGTCAAATTTTAATCTTGCCGGCTGTGCATTTCTTGCTGGAAGTCGCGCTTGTCGCGGTCTAAGATGCAAAGGCAAATGCATAGCCTCTCCAACATCGTGCGGATCATGGAAAGCTCTCTGGTAATCTCTCGGTTCATCCCAACCAGTAATCCATCTGGCAGAACGACTTTTATGTACCTCCAATATCTCTGGATAATCTTCAATATGATGTTGCTCTCCAATCACACCTTCCCCGCATGTTGTAAATGTTGAGTGTTGGATCATATCTGATAAATAGAGATCCTTTGATGGTCCATTTAATCCACCCAAATCAGCATGGTCAGGGTCAAATAATTCCTTTAGACCCATTCGCTTTAAGGTTGAAGAAATATTAAATACAGATTTGTGAGAAAATCTGGGAATTTGTAGTTCCAATCCAACTCGTGGAAGTAAAGTACGTAGCAATCGATTCCACGCTGGTGTACTTGGATTTGAATTTAATAACCGTTTTTCGAGCTCTTCTAGATCTTCTGCATGAACAATGTTACCTTGTTGCCCAGGCATAACGAATAATGTACTGACAACGGAATTGATATTTCCTAAAGCCGCAGCAGTTGCATCAAGTACTGGGTCGTAGCCGGCTAAGAAATTATTTTTATATACTACAGCAGGAACCGGCACTAGTCTTCTTTGACGCACATTCGGTGACACAACGAAGTACATTTCTCCATCTCTTCCATCTACTGAAGTCCTCGAACAGTCCGTCTGAAATGTCAAAAATAATTGGTAAATATATGTTTAAGAAATTAAAATAATAATTATATTCTTGACACTCAACTACAGGGCGAGCTATAGAGAAGGCTATGCTTGGGGTTTCTCTGCGTGATAAACTTAGAAATGAGGATATCTGCAGTAGAAC